AAAAGTCTTTCAGCAATCATATTTAGCTGATTTAAAATAGTTCTTTCTTTTGGAAGGCATCAAATAGCTAAAAGCTGCCATAAGGTGATTTTGAGAGGAAGATATTGATGGAGATAATGACAATTTGCACAATTATTCTGTTACACATAGCATAAAGTTATCTCTTAACTTGAACCAGAGAACCAAATAGGTCAATTCATAATCTTGTACTGAAACCGCTTGGTACCTTAGTAAGACAGTTGAGAAATTGATTAAGTTTTTGTTTTGATTTAGATTATTGTTGTGTCAACTCTCTGGTACTCTGTCACTGATCCAAGACCAAAGGTACACTAATTATCACTATCACCATGGTAAACCATCACCTAAGGAGGAGATTGCTTCACTACATATTGGGGTGTGTTTGTGCCCTACTTTTGGGAAAATATGTTTTGTAATAGTGATATTTTGGAAAATGTGTAGATAAAAAAGGGAAAAATTTTGGATTTACGTGTAAAATTATTTTTTTGAAAGAGTAAAAGGGTTTTTGGGATAATGGGGCTCAAACAGGGGCTGTGTAAATACTGGTATTCACAACATGTTTTCCGAGTGATTACTTTGTTCACATATGAGCAATTTTCATAATCAGTAACAAAATATATGACATCCAGGATAGAGAGAGAATCTAAATTGGATACAGTCGGGCTACAAAATACTGGAGAACATGCTCAAGGAAAGCATCAATCAAGATCATAAAAACAACCAAATGTTTGAGAAATTAACAATATAAAAATGTTGCATGATTGAGTAATCCTATCATAATCAAAATAAAGAATGACTGGAAAATAAAACAAACCTAAAGTTGTTCAATTGCAGAAGAACCCCAAGACCTAAACTCAATTGAAAAGCAAGAAAACAAAGTCCTTGAAATGGTGTCAAAATGCCACTGGCAACTGGCCTCGACCTTGTCCGCTCTACCTACACCACATAAAGCTATCAAACAAGCAAGGAAACAAATGAATAAACATCACGTAGTAGAAGGTTCTACTTCAAAATACAGAAGAAAGATAGATGAACAAAAATGCAAAAATATGAAGAGCCTAAAAATGGTTGAAATATATCAACTGAGGATAACTAATGCATCTGTCCAATATGAAAAGAAGATACTGATCACATTGGTAAAAGGTACTAAAAAGCAATAGTTCATAGCTGAACTGAATGCGTAAGGGAATCAATCAATACAATGTTTGAGACATAGGAACAATCCGACTCGTAAAATAGGATTAACAGTTGAAAATGCAAAAAAAGATTGTGACATGAAATATAATGTAAAAGAAAAAAACAGGGAAACCAGAGCTTCCACATTCTTCAATTATCATTAGACAACCTCAGGCAATCTCTGGCATGGAAGAAGTTGGGTGAAAAGGAAAGGAGAAGTGGAAAATGGAAGGACCATCTTCTTCCCGATCTTTGTTTTGGAGGGATGGGGGGGGGGGGGGGGGGGGGGGGGTGGATGGTATTTTTTTAGAATATTTTATTCACGTGAAGTCTACCTTAGATGAGTATTCTGGAAGAATTCTCCCTTGTACTCCAACATTATTCCCCACCCCCAAAAAAATGAAAATTATGCTACTTTATCATGGCCACATCGGTCCTAGTTATGCCAAGCCCTGGACCGATGGCATTTCCAGGGCCACAGTCTGTAGCTCTTAGTGTTGTGTGGCTTGCACTGTACTATAGAAGACATTTGGTCTTCATAGTAAGATATGGTGTAATGAAATATATTCTTTATCAATAAAAGACAATAAATTGTGTGATTTCAATTTTAGATATTCCTTGGTTGGGGGCGTAAAAATGGAGATACAAAATTAACTAATGGACCCTAACAAAGGCCAACCCAACTGTGTCAGCTACAAGTAATGAATTAATGGAGACTGTTGGAGCTTCCAACTATACAAAGTGGTCTGCACAACTATTTCTGTGTCAAAGTTTGCAAGATCTCGATGTTGACTTGTTGAAGCAAGCAGAGACAATCTTCCGGAAAAACTCTATTGAGATTCTATATTATGCCTGCATCTTTAAAAGATATATGGCCTCAGTTGAATTGGTTTCAAGCACTGTATTTCTCCATCATCCATTTTCCCTAGTCGTTTCCCTCATTTCTTTACTTCAATCCGAAATTTGAAAAGACCTCCAAGTTGAATATGAGGAAAATAAGTGTTTGAAACTTGTAATTAGTTAAATAATACATTCATTACACAAGCTCAGTAGCAAGTGTAAAGTCCATTTCCTCCAAATTGCAAACGTGGTACAAATATAAAACATTAGAGAGGAGAACTAATCACCTTTCCATCAATATCTTGATCATCTTCAAAATTGCAAATGTGGTACAAATACAACACATTAAAGAAGAGAACTAATCACCTTTCTATCAATATCTTGATCAAGTAGATCGTTGATTGTACATCCTGCACCACGTAAAAGCAATGCCCCTGAACCAAACAAAGCCATCATCTTAAAGTCTGGAAGAGTCGCTGGAACTGCTGCCATCGTTATAGACCTACGACGAAACAAACATTGATAACCCAAAACTATCAAACCCTAAAGCATTCAAACAGATAATTGAGCAATGTAAGCACAATTTTTGCACTACTATAATTTCTCTAAAGTACCAAACTCGCTAAATAAACGACTAACCACATGCATGGCCAAGCAAGAAGCCAAGTGCCAATCGGCTTATCGATGCGCGCCAGGTGGGCATAAGGCCGAGCCTTTTGAGGTAAATAAACATCGATCCACGACTGATCGGGCTTACTACTCCCATTATTTTTCGGTTTTTGCTCGTTTTCCTTTGATGCTAGCGTAGAAATGTGAGAATTTCCAAAAAGCGTTTGATACACACCGAATGGTCGGATTAAATGAAAAGAATTGTAAAATTGGTGTCTTGAGCTGGAGTTTCTTAGGGTGAATTCGAAGAAATTGGGAGCATCGAGAAGCGAATGAAGGAAATTATTACTCTGGTTTGAGGTCGGCGGAGGGTTAATGCCGGAAAGGGCAATTGAGAGGTAAGAGTGGCCGCAGCAGAGGAGGCGGCGGCCGTGAGAGAGTCGATACATTGCCATGAGTAAAATACAGAAATAAGCATCAGTTGAGAAGCACTCTGCAATTTCCTATTAATGAAATTCGAAATGATTAATAATAATTCTCTTCTTTAATCACTTCTATATCTCATTGGCTTCATAAAACACAAATGAAAATACAAAATCCTAAGTCAAGAAAGTCCATAACTTTGGGGCTTGGATTGGTTTGGGGAGTTCTGATACAATTTCCAGACTTCGAAAAAAAATTTGGGTTTTGATTTTTGAAGACTGTTTGGTTTAAAAATGGGAGACGAGTGTTTGATTTGGATACTTTTCTTCAATCCGCATCCATGTTAGCGTTTGATTTAAATTATGGACAGAGTTAAGTGTCATGTAGGAATTTTGTTAGCCATGTAGGCGGACAATCAAATGGAGTTCATTCGGTGCGTAATGGAGTGTAATGACATGAAGTTAACTGCTTATGGGGAAATATTTTAAAGTTCAGTGAGTCATCCATTACAATATACAAAGTTAGATGACTATCGAAATATTTAAGTCAAAGTTTCAGCCAACTCAAATAACTTAAAATGTGATATTTTTCATCATGTTATTAATCAATAATCAAAGGGAATAATGGTGTTAAAGAGAAGAAAAAAAGGAAGTAATGAAATTTTGAATACTCAAGTGATTGCTTGATAAAACTTTGATAAAATTTTATCAAATTTTTAATTGGTCAAAATTTTAATTTTGATTATACATTTCATATTATTCATAAATGCTATCAACTTTTTAATCACACATATTTTCTTCTTCTTTTTTTCCCCAGTAAAATCTACTAAAACTTTTGTCAAAAAGTTGAAGCAACCCCCCCGCCCCCCCGCCTTTTTTTTTTTTGGGGGAAACATTGACAAATCTTTTCATTGATATATTAGTTAAGATATTTAATATTTCGTAACTAGAGGATTTTTTTTCTTTCGTTAATTACATTTTTCTTAAGATTATTCAAAAAGAGGAATTGGCACAAATGATCTCTAACCTATGTGATTGCCGCGCAAATGGTCCCTAATCTTCAAATTTTGACCCAAACAACCCTAACATTTTATTTAATTGGCGCAATCAGTCATTTTGAGTGATTTCCATCCAATTAATCTTTGCTTCTTTGGAAAGATTAAAATTTTGATATAAAGACTAAAATCTCCTTATTTTATTTAAATAAATAAATCAGGCAAAAATTTTAAAATATAAGAAAGAGAAAAGTCAATTCATTCTACCAACTAATACCCATAAGAACATTTCCTGTGCAACAATGTATCGCTTAAAATATATTCTCATAAACAAAAATTAGAACATTTTTAAGAAATTCGTATTGGGACTCGATCGAGATGATTGATAGATAAAATATATATTTTTAAGACCTTCATTAGACATGCTAATTCAGCAAACCTTGTATATTATATGCAAATTAAAATATGATTTTGTTAGTATTTTAAGAAAATAAAAGACAATAATATATAGAATGCGTTGAAAATCAAATTCCAATTTGTTAGACATTAATTTCATGTAAATTAAAAGTCGTTTAATAACTTCTTTTTTTCCCTCTACAACATCATTTAGAAAAAGTCTCTATTTGCCATTTTCAGTACACGTATATTGCTTAAAAATTTGTGTTGTGTAAGCAAAATAAAAAATGTTTAAAAAATTCATCTTCAATGCAAGTTAATAATTAGTGGTGGTAATAAGCTGAGTCGAGTCAGTTCGATCCCATTGTCCACAAGCTAGGCTTGTCATCAAGGGCCAAGTCAAGCTTGGGCGATGAGTTCGTCTACTTTTTACTTTTTCATTTTATTTTGTTTTTTTGGGTGGGGAAAACCATCATCCTTTTTTAGGTTTGGGATTGCCTACTTAATTTTGAAGTAGGCGAAGTTAAAATTGTCCATGAAGAACTTGTTATGTGTTCTATTGTTTTGAAAAAACAGAATATCGTTAAGAAAATAATAAAGTATGACTATGAAGAAATCAAATATTATTTACCTGATCACATGCAATTTTGGCATACTTATTTTGTATTAGGTAATAAGCGTCTTGTCAATCCTTTATACACATTAATCTTTAGATTCTTGAAATCAGAAAAATCGATTATCTATACTAAAAGTAGACTACGATGTTACAGTACTAACCAAAGGTGTTAATAGATCATGAGCAATCACAAAAACAATGGGTATCGCATTTGTGATGTTTCCAAAAATCAAGTATATCAAGAGTCATTGCTACGGTCTTAAACATTTGATGATTAAAGTATTTACATAATTCTGCAAGCATTCCAGTTGAACCAACGTCTGATGTACTTTGATTATATGTTAGAGACATACTAAAAGAAAATGTATCAAATCTTTCATCATTAATATCTGTAACAAATCCAACATTTTTCTCATCACCTCTTCAATATTAGCGTTAGGGGAAGGTATGGAGGTACTCGACTAATATGTATATCCAATTGTTGTTCATACAATTTGTACATTGAAGTTAAAGCTAGGCTTGGACATCGGGTGGGTCGGTCGGGGTATTTTAATATCCATAACCACCCATTATACTTCGAATATTTCGTAAATGGAACAATTCGAATCTTTTGCAAATACCAAACCCAAACCCAAATCGTCGATTCCGGTTCTACCCATAGCATTTTTATATACATTTATTTAATAAATGTTTCACTTAGAGTCTTTTGGTACATATACCTAGTACACTGCTACTTGAAAATATTTGTGTAATGAAGAAAATTCAGTTAAAAAAATTTCAAGGAGCAAAATATTGAATACAAAAAGTCATAAAAATAGGAGAAAATAAAATAAAGATAAGAAATGAAATTATAATTTGAGAAGAAAATATTTTTCTTAATAAATCTTATTCAAACTATAAGAGAGGCATACTAGGTATATAATTTAAATATAAACAATGTTTAAATTCTTCTACTTTTAAAACAAACTGATATAAAAAAAATACTAATTAAATACATAACGAATATAATATCAAAAAATTACGGTCACATATTGAACTCACTCTGTTTGAATAAAATATATATAAACTCAAGATAACAAAAGGTACAACACAGCACAAGCAATGAATATATCGAATTCAATTGTTATGTGTTGTGAAAAAAAACAAAAATCACTTCAGTTTATTAACAATATAAGAAAGTAAAAAAACTTAAATTGCAAATAATAAAAGCTTTGATTCACAACTTATACCTCAACCTATTTGAAATTTTTGATTTATAAAAAACTCAAATTGTAAACATTAACATATAATAATCTCTGAAATACAACAATCTGATATAAGGTGAGATGTAAAAAAGTATGAGTCAATCTTATTTTTTAGGGTTAGAGTTTAAAGTTTTAGTCTAATTACTGCCAAAATTAGGATTTTTAGGTTTTATAAGTTTTTTCAGCATATAAATTGTAAATAATTTTTTTTTTTTTTAAATCAGTTCACTCGAGCACCCATGGTTTCGGTTTAGGAACCAAGAATCGAATCGAACCCAGTTGGTTATCGGTTTCGGTTCCTAATTTATTTTTTTGAGGAATCGGACCGAAACCTCCGATTCCGGTTCGATTTTGATTCTGGAGATTCAATTCCGGTTAAACTGCCTAGGCCTAGTTAAAGTGCTCTCTAAATTAGATTATGTGATAGGAGTATCAAAATTTAAATTATTTGTGATTTTTCTTATACCATATTTATTTCAAATTATACCTCGGATTCATTACACACTCTAAAGCAAATAACATAGATGGGTCTTTCCAAATTTTCTAAATTTCAGTTCCATAAAAAATAATACTTCCATAAAATGGGATCAATTATATATTTATTGAAAGTTATTGTAGAGCTAGCAGGATAGTATACCCCAGATGATATATTTGTATAATTATAGAAATTTGTCATAAATCTTTTAATTTTAAAAGCTAATTTTCCAAAGTATCTATCAAAACAGAGTTTGACTCGTTTCTTATATGTCATGAATTAAAAAATTCAATAATCAGTGCTTCATAGCCTTCACAAAGATTTGAGTAATATGTAAATCGAGTTCCACCTATACCCTACATTGTTTACAATATTTTTGGATTCCATACCAAATTAAGCACAATATTGTTTGAACGTTTATTTTTTACCAAGTGACATAGCCCCAATTTGGGCTCCATTTTATTCAAAAAATATATATTTCTCTCCTCTTTTTAATTATACATTCTCTAATAAAATAATATTATATGTAAATTTAACATTTTTTCTTCTTTTTTAACCGCACATTCTTTAAGTTAATTACTATGTCAATATACACTTTCCCTAAAAATACATTATAATGGAGCCTGAACAAAGGCATAGTAATAAATACTAATACCTCCCCGATTCTACCCATCTGTTAGCTAATATGTTCCATACCATCTTGCATAGGTGACATACAAAATACAAAGAAATAAGAAGATATCGAAATCTATAAGAACTCTACACAGTTTATCAATAACTAATTTATCAACACTTGTATTATCAAATGTAAAACTATAAATTTTAAAGTCACAACTATATTCTTTTATGATTTTCATAATAACATTAAGCCCTTGTTTGGGCTTCATCTTAATGTGTTTTCGAGGAAAATGTATTTTTGAATATTGATTTTTTTTTAAAATGTGTAGTTTAAAAAAAAAAAAGGAAAAAAAAAAGAAAGGTTTTGAATTTACGTGTAATATTATTTTATTAGAGAATGTACAGATAAGAAAATGAGAGAAAAAAAATTCATTCTAAATAAAATGGTGGTCAAACACGAGCTAAATATGTTATTAGCATTGTGAGGAAACTCAATTATATTAAAAGCAATTATTCTTTTATGCATTACCCAAAATGGGTTTATATAGTTAGTAGTTGCAACTATACGGAATTTTTTTTATTAATGTCTTCCCATATAACCGATGTGAACGAATACTAACATATTTTTATAAATCGTTTATTATTTGTTTCTTGTGTCTAACAAAACAATCAATACAGTCGGTACGAAGAGTATTTCTACTTACCCCAACCTACCTTAGTTGAAGATATTCTTGCATGGACTTTGTGACTTGTTGGTTATTCATTATGCTTAGCAGCAACTTAGCACTAGCGACAAATTTCACCATTCTTTCACAACAATTTTCTTTCAAATAGATGTATGTGCTTATTGTAGAAGAACTAGTATTGGAAGAAGGAGTATCAAATTGAAGTTGTGTTTGTGATTGACCAACAAATCCATGTTTGGCCAAACATTTCACATAGTGACAATTGAGGTGGATAGTTTCAATTCCCTTCTACCGTGCCAATCTTGTTTGGCAATATTTACAAATTGCTTTAAATTCTTGGAATCTAGTCAAATGTGCGACCCATGGAAACCAATTTGAATTGTTCCTAGTTTATTTATTTATTTATTATTACTATTTTTTTTTAAAGTTTTGATTTCCTTCTTAAATCGGTTACTTCAAGTTACGATTCTTCTTCTTCATCGGTATCATCCAAATCAATTAGATGATTACTCCCATACACATCATTGACGCCCAAATCACCAGGAATATGGATATGATTGAGACTTGAAAAATCATTATGCAATTAAGATTGTGACATCAATGGTGAGTTGTCACCAAACAATCCCTCAACAAAAGAATTGTAATCCATTTGTATGACATGGAACCGGAATCTATAAACATGAAATGGAAGAATAGAATGCAATGGATGAATTATAAAATCGAGATAAAGTGAGAAAATATAATAAATGAGAAATGTAATAGATGAATTAAATAGATTGATGATTGAATAATGTAATTACTAGCAAGGAATTGAATTGAGAGCAAGTAATTTAGATTGTAAAATGTAGAATATAGATTGTAAAGAATTCGTATGAAAAAATAATTGAAATGAGGAGCAATTACAGTCTTCGATTTTTTTCTTTTCTTTTCTTGTGACCGTTGGAGATGGTCCCATTTATCAGTTTGGTCATCGTTCACAACGAGCTGATGAGCCACTTGATGCGCTCAACTATTCGTTACAAACTCGTGCTCGACTTGAGCTCAACCTCAGGCTCATCCCAAGACGAGCCCAAGCAGCCCAGGGGCCTAGCACCTATGAGCCAGCGACCTAGCCAACGAGTCGTTTGACTCAATTATTACCCTTATTGATAGTGACTCATCTGAAATGATGTGTTAAAGAAAAATAAATATTTTCTAGGGTTCCCGCTAGATTCAAAAGCTCCATTAGACATGCTAATTTAGCATAAAAATTTTATACACAGATTTAAGCCCCATGTTTGAGCTCCATTATCTAAAAAATTATTTTTTCCGAACTCATTTTCTACCATATTCTTCCAATGAAATAATTTTGCATATAAAACCAAAACATTTTCTTACTTTTAATGAAACATTCTCCAAAAAAAAATTAAAAAAAAAATCAGTATTACATAAATCATTTTTCACAAATAATGGGGCTTAAACACTACTTCAATGTGATTTGTTATTATTTTAAGAAAATAAAGCACATGGATAGCAATCTCTAGAATGCAGTGAAATCAAATTTGAACTTGTAATAGATAAATGTCACTTAAATTGAAAGTCTTTCAACATACCACATCATCTTGATGAAATCACTATCAATTTGCATTAAAAAGGAATTTCAGTACATGTTCTATTTTGCTTAAATGACACACCGTTTAAAGCAATCATGGATGCATTGGCGATGCCCTTACTAGAGATTGGTTGATAGGATGAGTTGTTGTCCTTTTTTTCTTTTTCTCATAAATATATATTTTTTTAGTTTTTCTTCTCCATTTATCTTAGTTTATTTAATTAAAAGTGACAACTTTAACTGTATATGGAAACCATTCAAAGGATCGATTTCCCTCTCATAGCTTAGGAACTATTTGTGCCAATACCCCATTTAAAAACAAGTTTTCAATTTGATGTCTATGTGAAAGGGAATTATTTGCGATGTTTCTTTGACAATCTATTTACAAAAATTATGAAAATTTAGTTATCTGAAAAAAAATGATGTCAGACATAGGAAAATTATTTTATGTGAAAATAGTTGCTATAATAGGCGAGGAATGTAGAAAATCAGGAGATGATATGTTTACTCTAATCTATTTGACTCGGACCAAATGAGACAAGACTGGATAATTTGGCCAAATTCCAATCAAAATCGATCTTGTTCTAGGTTTTAGAATTAAGAACTTAACCCTTCGGGTCTAATTCTCAATTCTAACTAAAATAAATTTTGATTTAGTTCCAAAAATAATTTTTATAGTCTTTCAATTAAATTTTAATTTATATAAAGTCATATGTATTTGGAATAATTGAGAGTTTTATCATTAAAAATATAAAATTTATCATATAATGTTTGCACTCTAACCAGTAGCTAAGGACGTGAGATTATGGGGCGTAAAGAAACAAGTAGCAAATTCAATTTCAGATAACAAAACTACAATACTTAAAAAATATGAGCGTTTGGAGATAAAGGAGACATATTTTTCCTTCTATGTATTCTACAAAGGGCATCCCAATCCGCAACATCAACCTTTGTAGTGTTAAAATGCAACAAAGTCGTTCTTAAGTCAATGAATTGGGTCATTCAAATGATGGTGATCGAATATCATATAAGGTTTAGATTGTCTTATATAGGAGTAGGCAAAATCCAAACCAACCCAAGGAAACCACCCAACCCGATCCAAACTGACCGGTTTGGGCTGGATTTTTGCTATTTTTTGGTGGGTTTCGGGTATTGGGTTGAGTAGTCGGGTCGGGTCGGGTTGGGTTATGGGTTAACAAGAAAAACCAGGGATATAACCCGACCCAACCCAATAAAATTTAAAAAAAAAAAAGAAAGGAAAAAATGAAATAAAATGAGAAAAAAAGCCCTAAACTCTACTCATCTCACGTCTTCAATCCCGCCTCAAAGTCGACAAGCCCTAATCTGTCTCCCATCTATTTCTCTCAAATCGTCGACGATAATCTTCATTTTGCCGTTGCCGATCATCGGACATCCACACTCCAGTGCTAGAGTGAGTATATACTGCATATTTCCTTATTCTGGCTCCACCAATTCTCCCTTTCATAAAGATCATTGTAATTTGTAAATAATCTTATCACTCCCAATTCTAACTAGGCCCAAAAATCATCAATCGTCGTCTAGCAATACCCTTTATTGCTATTAATTGTTTTTTGAAAGGCTGGTTTTTTTTCCTCTTCATAAAAGCTTTAGTGGGTGAATTGTTTTTGTTGGGTTCTGTGTAGATGAAAGAGGGACCTCAGAAGAGCTGGAAAGAAGACTTGGCTTCCAATTTAGAGAGAGAAAGATAGCTGTAAAGTGAAGGCAAATATGAGATCATTGACATGTACAGATACACAATTTATAGCTGTCTGTGAAAAAAATATTTATGGAGACAATTTATACTATATCAAATAATATAAATTTTTATCCCAGGTTCTGCGATTCGTTCGTTTGAAAAATTAGTTCACTATGGAGAAATTACACTGAAAATGATATATACAGGGGAAATAATATACGACAATTTCAACAACTATAATATAACATACCAGATGAGTATTGAATTTTCCAGGCCTTTTCCTAACAGAGAAATGTAGACTTTTGTTTGGAGGAGATCAGGCGTGCCTTTTCAAGGGTGCATTTTAGACGGTGATGCCAGCAGTTCTTGTCTCTCATTGTGCAGTAATTCCACGGTTTACAAATGCTTTACACATGGTATTTATCTATATAGTTTTTTATGGAATTTATATCTGATTATGGAATGCATTTAATGGAAAAACGTGTGAAAGGGTCATTCAATTTTTCTTCAGTTACAGATTAGAATTTGAATGCTAATTATAGAAACCAATATTTTTAGTCATATTTATCAGTCAGCGTAGTATTTTTGAAAAAGCTTCTCACTACATGGTAAGATGTGAATAAGTTTTATATTCTGATGCATATATGAGAATTTCCTATTAATTAAATATTGAACCTGGTTAAGTTTAAGTGACGAGCCAAGCCCACTTGAACTTCTATTAATAAGTTGTTAGGGTTTGGAAACAATACAGACATTCATTATCTTACTAGCACAAGAAGAAATAAACCAATTCTCTCATTCTTGTTTCCTATTTGAATTTTCAAAGTTGAACAATTAGACAACTATGGATTACAGATCGTGATTGTTCTCCGCAGAATTAACTAAATGTATAATTCTTATTGCCATTTCTATCTAAACATAAAGTAAATCTTTGGTGAAAATTGAAATTATTATAAATTTCATTGTGCATGATTAAGTAAATTTCCAGTAGTTGTATTAGAGCCTACTTTATGCTTGTAGAAACTGTTTTGCATGTTACAACAATCAAAAGTTGATTGTTATTAATTTTCTTGATTCTAGCAATTTGAAAAATTATTTTTCATCTTTAAAAATCTGTTTTAAAAAAAATTAATTTATTGGTCGAAAATTAGATTTGAGCATCATGGACAGCGAAGAAAGTCACCGTCACCACGGTGGCAGTGTATGCAGCTACGTGTTGCACGATGGTACTTTGCCTATGATCTCCAACGGCGAGTCCCACTACTCGTATAAACAACACCAGGAGCTGCTGTTTTTGTGGCAATGACAGTGCCGGCACTGCTTGTTGCTGCAAGGTAAACTTGTGACAACATAAAGTAGTGTGTAGAAGTGTTAGAAGCTTAGTGTGTTTTGTTCATGTTTTAAATACCATTTAGATTTGATATATTGTTTGATTTTTAGAGTTTTACAATGTTTTGATGTATGTTTTAGTGTTGTTTTACAGTAGGTGAAGTGGTGTAAATGATGCAAAAATTAGAGAACATAGTGATTTTAGCATAAATCAAGAAGAAGATAACTTGCAAATAGGCAACAAACACAAGGAGTGAGCGGAAATAGCATGAAAACATAGTTATATTACGACAAATGGGGCATCCAAGTGTCACAATCCGATGCCTTGGCGTCACACATAGCAAGGTAAGAAAAATAATTTAGCAGACTGGCAACCAAGAGCTAAACAAGAAGTTGGCGCCTGGGCGCTAGTCACATCATTCATCTTGGTGCTTAGGCGCCCAATCAAGGCGCATAGGTTCCAGTTGCCATTCAGATAAGGTTTTGTATTTTTTTTATCCGTTTAGAAGTCCAATTTAACGCCAACTCGTCTAGGGCTTCAACGAGGCATAGATACAACCTTGAGGGCATTTTGAACTATAGTTAGATGAGACAAAAGCAAGAGATCGAGAGGAACAACGAGAAGAAAATTGATTCAAGCTCCAAAACAATTTTTATTTCTTTCTTCTTTACGTTCTTGATTGAACTAAGTTATTCATCCAAGGTTTGATGTAATTGATGTTTTAAGATTACTTTTTGAGATTCAATAATTATTTCTTTGAGGTTTTCCTCTAAAGTTTGTTTGTGTTGTTTATTTTTCATACTTTCAATTAACTGGCTATTAATTCATTGATATGATTGTTTATGTTTCGACACTCGAGATAGGAAACCTTAGACTTGATCTTAGAATAACACCACCTAGGATGTTATAGGTTTCGAGAGAAAGTATAATTCCTCTAAAACTTTTCCACATAAGAACTATAGAACTTGATGATTCTTAGATTTGTTATTCGGAATGGAGATATCGGAATAAAAATTTTGGAATAATTTTTAATCGGCACTCGGGAGAGGAAGTATAATTACATTAGGGCTCTTGCTTATGAACTTTCAAAACTAGTTGGAGATAATTAACGAATTGAGAAACATAATTGATAGTTAGATGAAATCAAAACCCTTTCACCATAAATTTCGTTAATAACTTTGATACTATGCCCCTGTTTGTTTGCCATTTGTTTCTCCATTTTAGAAGAAATTGGATTGTTAATGGGCCCCCACCAAGCCCTTTTTGTTGACTGGCCTCTTACATTGTTTAAAAATCTCTGAATTCCAACGGTCAGAAAATGCATTATTATGTGCTAAAAATAAGAAACAAACAGGGGCTAATAATTCCGTCATTTAGATAAAACAAAGGCTATTTCAATTATAATACTTAATAAGAATTTGATCATCATATCCTATGAGTTTGACATCCCATTTCATTGTTATATCATAAAACTTGACATTGTGTGCTTGCGATATAATTTGCACCTAATAGGTGCTGTTGCAGTAGCTGCGTTAGACATTGTTGCCCCTCTTGTTATGGCCCCTGTGGGGTACTATGTCGTGGAAGGCGGAGCCATTGCGAATTGGGGAAAGGGCCTATTATGCAATATATATTATCTTAGACCCTCGACTGCAATTTTTAAAATATTTAAATGTATAATTATTATCACGATTTTCTATCTAAAGATATAATATTTTAATGTCTAATATTGTTATGCTCAGATAGTGACTGTTATTCCTAGAATTAAATAAAAGTATAATATTGATATGCTTGCAAAACAAATCAAGAAATATTTGAAAAATAAAAATAAAAAAATGAAGCCTTCGTCACATCATCTTAAAAGTCATGCATGTGACCGCTTCGAAAATATTTCTTATTTTGAATTTGTCAACAACTAAAAAATCTATAATGAGAAGGCCATGAATGTCACCTAGAGCGAGGATGAAGAAAACGATTAAGATACGGATTGTGACAACTCAAGGAATCAAATTGTTTATCTTGCTCCATACATTCAGGCGGGTTTAGACACAACAGAGAACGTCCCAACCAATTTTGAATGATCGGTGAACATATTGGAAGTAAAAAATGATAAAGATTTGGTTGAGAATAGAGTTTCAAAATGAAATGACTTCATTTATTGCCTATCTTCAACCAACAAGTGGTATCAGAGCTATTGGTTTTCATTTGTTCGAGATTTTTGTTATTGATGGCGCCCATGAAGTATAAAATTTCGCTCTTGGATTGCAATGCCAGATTTTCGTTGTAACAAGTGAATATACGAACTGTACTCCTGCAGATGAATCTGGATGATACATTGTTGGAATTTAACAAAGTGCCCATAACAAGGACGTCGATGGAGAAACAACGAAAAGATCGAAATGCACTTTTACAAATCCATCTTCATCTCTCTAACAATATTCTTAGGACATTTTGAAGGAGAGAATAATAGTTGTATTGTGATTGAAGTTGGAGTAATTATACATGACTAAAAGTCTGACAAACAAATTATATCTAAAGTAGAGGTTGTATTCTCATTGTATAGCAGAAGACAGATCTTTGGAAGATCATATGGCTGTGTTCAAGGAAATCATTCTAATTTGGGGACTTTAGAGTTAAAGTATTATGAAGAAGATTTGGCCTTAATCCTTTTGTATTTAATTCCTGCTTCATTTACTTCATTTAGAAACATGATATTTTATAGTTATGATACTTTCATCATTGAAGATGCGTATAATGTCTTGTTTTCAAGAGAAAAGATGAATCATTTAGTTGGATCTAAGGCTAGAAATGAAAAAGGCCTTGTTTTAGGTTATCAAAAAAGGAGTAAGTCGAGGTTGAATTTCAGTAATCAAGTCTGTTATTAATGTAAGAAAAAATGATACATTAAGAGAAATTGCGACAAATCGCAAAACAAAGTATTTTGACCTTAAATCATGGGAAACAATTAAATAATAGCTGAGAACTATTTGAGTGATGGAAATGTTTTGATGATTTCTGAATGGAATCCAAACATGATGATAATCAAATTTTGGATACAGCTTGGGCATTCCATGTGTTCAAATCAAGATTTGTTTGAAACATATGAAACAATGAACCAAGGTGTCGTTGTCATAGGTAACAACGACCTTATCAAGTAATTGGTATTGGTAGAGTCGAATTGAAGCTTGTAGATGGAACATGTAGAACACTTGATCATGTTCAACATATTCAAGACTTGATGAAGAATCTGATTTTGTTGAGTACTCTTGTTGAAGAGTTCGAATTTTATCGTTGCAATCAAATTTATTTTTCAAGTGGAAAAATTTTGAAATTTCGTTCGTTGCATCAAAATTTTAATTAAGGTGAAGATTGTTGGATTTTTTGATCCAAATTAGGTTGGATTTTTTAGAAAAATATTATTTTCTTTATCCTATATGATTTTATTGGAAAAATTGTTCCCTTTATTCCACGTGATTTTTTATCTCGGGAAATCTTTGTGGTATTTCAAAGGATTGACATACACACCTGTAAATACTAGACTCTTTTCACAAATTTTGTATTACTGAATATAGATAATTGGCATAATTATTGATTTGTTTTCTCCATATTCATCTATTAAATAAAATACCTAGTTCCTCTACGAATTAATTCTATGCTTTTTATCTTATTGTTTGTTTGCAATCATATACTTCATATTATATCATATATATTACCTCAATACGTTTTATTTTCCAACAGGATTAACTTAGATGAGAACTACCTAGGGGCGGATGTAAAAATTTGTAGTTAGGGTGTACAATCAAACTCTGTACAAATCGAATACTTTGTTATTGATTTTTGAATAATTTATACTTGATCTGAAAAAAAATGCAAATTTACATTTAAAAAATATTTCTTCATTAATATTTTGGACATAATTTTCATTCATTTGATTTCGAGCGACTATTTTATTAATATTTTGCTAATCACAAGAAAATTCATATTTATGCTTAAAAAATTTATAATGTATTTTGTACTTTATTCTATTCAAGTTACCGAAAGGAAAATTATATAACCAATATTTGATCAAATAAATAAAATTCATTAAATATAAGTTAAATTGGATATAATTAGTTCAGATACATTTTATGTAAACAAATAGGATAGGAGAAAAATACAAATTTAGATTCTAATTAATTGAAAAGTAAAAATTTGTAGAAAAAATTTAAACAAATTTTAAATAATTAGAAGAGTTAAGGTTTTTTTTAATGGTGTGAAGGAGAGTAAAATAGAATAAGAAAAAATTCAAATTTATTGAGAGTCTGTCCCTGTTTGGTGGGGATTAAAATCAAACTTTTTTTAAATTTTGATAAAAATTGAAAAGTTAAGGATTTCATGAAAATACGTTATTAAAATTAATTATTAACTTTGATTTAAATTAAAATTTATATTTCAATCGATACCAAACATAATTTATAAAAAAAAAAAATGTAATCTCAAAATTTAAGGAGGTCACTTGACCCTACAGGACCCCTTGTGTTCGCCCTGGACAACTACCCTAAAAACTTTGACATATCAGTAGATAGGAGAAGAGAGCATATTGTTGAGGATAAATCTCTTATTGCATATGCAAATATGCGGGCACGAAGTTAGAAAGGAGATGGAAAGGATCACTGCTTTGGAAGCCTTGTTGGTAATCATGAAATTCGTATTTGCTCTTGTAGTATTCTTGAAAGCCGATATATGTTATTTATGTAGGGGATTGTTGTACATGATTTAATAAATTAGGAAAATGAATGAAATTTGAGATCTAATTTAAGTGGACCATGTACTCCGAAATTAACGTGACCAAATATATTTATGTTCTACTCCTCTGGGTGATTAACACTTTGTATTTATTTATTGAAATCATTTAAAATTGAATGAAATATATGATTTTAAAATTACTCTCTTGAAACTTTAAATAAACGAGAATTTGATTGAAGTTGTTAAAGATCCTCCCAAATTATTTCTTTTTGGATAAAATTTAAATAAATTTTTGGACCAAATTATAATTTATCAAATTCTTGAGTACTTAGTGAAATTATTTTTAACGATATTTTAATTTTCAACCATTACTTGTTTTTTCGTAATTTTCTATTCACTATCTTCTGTGAACATTTGTGAATGATTAACCAATATAATTACACATGATTTCAATATGAATGGTGTTGTTTGTTCGTCTTGAAAGGTTATCTAAATAGTCATCACTGTTTTGAAAGGGCGTGTAGTGTTCAAATGACCACAATAAGTCTTATAAATAACATCCCTTTCTATGAGAAATTTTACACCATTTTCCTTTAAAATTGTCTTGTTTTGAATCTCACTTTTCTCTGTATTCTAATATCATTCTTCGAGTACAAAACTCCATATTGAGTTTGTTGAAACTCTTCTAATTCTATAAGAACGAATTTTCTATTATCATAGACAAATTGGTGATTGCCTTTAAGCACCATAGAATGGAGTAAAATAGTCATAAGGATACATCAAGAAGTCGATGGACTCGAATTAAAATTCTAATCCTGTTGATTGTCCTTTTACTCTGTTCAAATCATTTCCAATAATTTGCAAGTACAAATATCTTCAGGTTGTCGATACTCTAGAAACAACAGAATCTTCACGGCATTTCATTAGAAACGTTACAAATGAAATCATGTTGGGTTCATTACTACCCTTCTTTAGTTTAGTGAAGAAGTAAAGCTTTTCCTTGTCTCTTTGCTATAATCTCCCATAATTCTTTGAAACCATAAAGATGAGAGTCGAGCCACCAACTTATCTTGTTTGACACAAGTCAGCAATAGTATGAATGGAGAAACGTAAACTACAACTAAAAATTAAATCGCTATTTTTTTTTTTTACTTTTTTTTTTTTTCCCTAATGTTATGCGAGTAAAAGATGTTCACATCACATGATAATCAAGGGCTCTTTGACTATCATTTTTAAAATTGGTGCACTCTTCAACAGGCAATTAGTTCAAGTTCTGTCATCAATTTTTCCAATGTTTTATACAATTTCAGACATGATGCATTAGAATTCACTATGAATGAACAGTATAATGAGAGAAGCCTCGACTGGAGAGACGGATTGGAAAGTACATCAATTATAATCTCAATTATTATTAGGAAAAATCTAATTATCGAAGCATGATGAAATTCATGGACTCCAGTTCGTCCGAATGCAGAAAAAATTACTATTGATCGACCCCCCACGACTATAAAATATCAAAATTCATTTGTGTTCATATTTTCCTACAGAATTTCTCTAGATTATCACAACTAAGGATATACCGTATACGGGTGCAGACTGATGCAAGGTTAAGTTGAAACACGGTGCCAGAGCTTGAAACCCGATATGACAGAACTAATGGCGAAGGCAAGAAAAGCCACGAACGACATCCCCACAGATGCACTGGCCAGTAATGTGAAATCGTCTTGGCCCCAATTCAACATCCAGTCGTGCACTCGTGTAGCTGCTGAGGATGATGCTGATATTAGAAGATAAGCCAGACCCTGCTAAACACGAAAACGAGCATCCTTTTAGAAAAGCTTACATGATAAATCAGACAAGACACAGTAGAGACAACTTGCGTCATGGATTAAACCTTAATCCCTAACATCGAAAGCGAAATTCTAATAAAAAAGAAATTCCAGAAAACGAACAAGAACACCCAGATTTATAGAAGTTCACCTCAACTCAACATGAGAGTTATGTCCACGGGCCGCTAAAGATTTTAAACTATAATCAAGAAGTTTCACACCTCTCAGTTCCTATAGCAAACAAATGGGCTAAGAATTGAAGGGATAAGTAAAATCTACAATTAGGCTCCATACAATCCAATAACTTCCAAGTGGAAACGGATACTTGTTACACTAGGCCTTAAAGTGAATATACTGAACGAGAATAGGACACTTTTAAACCCACAAACAGATTTCTATATTGTTCAGAAAGAGCATCAGAGAAAATTACTTGCCTGATCCATTGAGAAATCGAAATGGTATGGTAGATAACCAGAGGTGACGTGATTTTCCGTGACCAAATTATAGGCCAAATCAACAGCTTGAAATCCAGCATATACGAATCCGATAATGTTCACGCATAGACAATACCTGCGTTATAAAACAACAAAGGTAAATAGTTTGCTTCGAAATATTTAGGACGTGAATTTGGTAAGATTTTATTCCATTTTTACACATCAGAGTCAATCCTTAGCATTTGTATAAAAGAACAATTAGAATCGGCTTAACTTTTATGGATTAAACAATTAATTCTGTACTAATGACAGTGGTAAAAACAAGAAATGATTATTGAAAGCAACTAGACTCTGTCCAGGGCTTCACCATCATGACAAAACAAACAAAATTATAAAGCTTTGGAGTTAAAACGGTTTAAATTATAAGCAGAAAAATTAGGCGATGGATAATGGGATAGTACTTGTGGCTCTCTCAAAATGTATAGATAAAAATTGCAATGATTATTTATAAACAGTTCATAAACACGAGCCAAACATGTGCTAAGAAACAAGTAGACTCTGTGCGAGGCCTTTCATCGTGGACTTCTGGGTGAAAACACAGTTTTTCGCACCTTAATCGAATCACCAGGCGAAACGTCCATATCTTTAATCTAGTATTTGTTCTGCGAAAAAAGGGGACTAAAATAGCGAAATTCCTATAATTTTCTTCAATATTTCTTTTTGGGTAAAAGGAAATCAAGACAAAAAGGAAACGTTTCCGCCTTTAAAATTTGTGGCAAAAAGTTCAAATGATCTAGCAATTCAATAGTTAATTTTATGACTACTTCTCTTAGCAAGATTCAATCTTTTCAAATGAAAAATTGACTCAATAAACATATAGCCAAATCTTTCGTAATAATAAACAAGAACAAATAAATTAAAAGAGAAATATGAATCTAAAGAAAGAATTCTACCTGTACTCTTTATACCGATCATATGAATCGCCACTCCACCCTTGATCTTTATCGGCGGCCATTACAGAAAACGAAATCAAGCACGTTATCACTTCAAACACTCTAAAAAACAGTGATAACTTCTTCATTTTAAACTCCGCCTTCGACCTCTCCAATATCGACTCCTCCGCAGCCCTCGATCGCCGCTCTTTGTCCACCTCATCCTCCCCACTGCCGCCTCGGCCGTACCCCGCCTCTATCTCATCCATTTCTCCCACCTTCGTCACTCCCTGCGAGAATTCATCCCTTACATAATTCCCGTTAAGCCCCGATACGGTTGGACCACGAGCACCATCCCGTCCATTCTTTGCCGGAAAATCAAGATTCTCTGACCTGAGCTTCCCTTGACTCGCTCGAAAATCGAGAATTTCAGACTTGGGCTTCTCAGAATGGGGCCAAGGCTTCCATCCCTTCCCTCCAACAGGAGGAGAGTTCGCCGGTAAATTGGGTTTTCCGGGCGGCGATGGATTCGGGGAATAGTACGTCTCAACAGCAACAATAGCTCTATTACTTCCATTACCATACTTATCATGTTGAACATGAAAATCATCTGAACGAAGCGGTGAGTCAGATCGCAGAGGAGAATAAAACTCGACTTGACTCGTTGTTGAATCAGTATCAGACATTGATGTATGACTATTACTGCTTCTTCTCAGAGATTTCTTGTTATGATCTGAATTTTCCATTAAATTTTGCTTTGTGACTACTCTTATTAATGGAAGAAGAATTATATAAGGAAAATCAAAGAAGGAGACGAGAAAAGGGAACTTAAAAGAAAATAAAGTGAAAGATTTTGCTGTACAGTGACATGGTCACCATATTTGTTTCATGCAAGAGAATAATGGACTAGGATTTTATTGTATGCAGTGAGATGCATGGAAATTTCTGTTCTTCAATAGTGAAATTTTGACACGTTGATTTTGTCAACGTGGCCAGTAGTGTATCGTTGTTTGTGGGTTCAAGGTTTAAAGTTGGATTCTGTGCAAATCATTGAGGAAGTTATATTTATACGATATCGTATATTCAAAGGTTGTTTTTTCTTTTGGTTGATCGTCCCTAAGGTATATGGTAATTTCAGATACACGCCTAGAGTTTTTAAACTGTCAAAAAGGCATCCCATATTTCGATTGTCGTGCATTGAAGTCCAGAATTGATAGTTTTTAGTTAGTCAAACCATTAATATTTTTCGTAACGGGGGCATAATAATTTTCCCTCTCCTATTTTCAATTACGCATTTTCAATAAAATAATATTACATGTAAATCAAAAAAATTTCCTTCTTTTTTATCCTCACATTCCCCTATAAAATACTATTCTATAATATATTTTACCAAAATTTCTTTTTTACAATGTGTGTCAACCAAGGAAATATGTTAGCGTAATCGAGCTAAAACAATTGAAAAATACATTAATTTTAAGTATATTGACCTTACAAGTCTTAACCAGGTATTAAAAAAAAAGTCATATCTAGGTATCGAGAGAAAATTTTGCTCATCTAATTCAATATCTTGGTAACTAGTTTTGAAGAGATGAATCACGGAGATACCTTTGGCTTCTCAAGGGCTCTAAATATTAGTGATATGTTTAGCACTTGTTGCATCTTCATTATTTATAAAATACATTTTTTATCTCTTACTTTCAATCACACATTTTTCAATAAAATGATATTACACGCAATTATAATTTTTTCCTTATTTTTTAACAACATACTTTCTATTAAATCACTATTCTAAAATGTATTTTTGAAGAATAAAAGGCTCAAATAGGGAACTTTTGCAACATTGAATAACAAAATAATGACATTAAAATTTTATACATAATATTATCAAATCTTATTCAGTATTACTCAATGTACCCTACAATATATTGTCAGACAATATTGAACACTAATAAAGAAGAAAAATAAATTAAACCCCTATTTAGTGATAATTAAAATCAAGATTTTTATTTATTGCTGTATTTAATGTTACCAAATATACCCTAATAGTATGCTTAGTGCAATGGACTCAACAAGATTGAACAAAATAATCGACAACATATATAATTATTTTCTTCTCTTCTTAATAATTTCACTATCCATATATGTTATCCCGGTCAATTAGAAGGTGCAGAAATAATTAGAACTGAATATGGAAAATAAAATTCTCGTAATGTATTTAATAAGAGAATTGATTATGCTCACGAGGAAGTATCTACTCATTAAGAAACCTTAGGTGTCAAAGCGTGAATATAGTAAAAAAGAGTACATGCAAAACACAGAGGAGGGAGCTTCTATATTTCTAATATTAGAGGGCAAATTGCAATTGTAAAGAACCTGAGGGGTCCTCGAAGTGAACCTTTTCCATCATTTATTAATATTGTCCACTATGTGAAGAAAGACAATCCATTCAAATCATATTCTTTCTTTTCACTTTCAATTTTCGAAACAGTCAAATGAATTAATTAAAAAGGGGTAATATTGTACCACTAAAAATTTGTCCCTCAATACAAGAAACCAAAAGAAAAGAAAAAATTCTAACTTAATTAGCTTTAATGAAACATCAAGTAATAAAAATTGTTCTCTAATAAATAGCTTAATTGATTGAAAATAAAAAAATTGTAATTCCCCACCCTCAAACAACAAATAAAATGACAAGAGTAAAAAAAAAATATTACAAGTGTTAGCAAGTATTTGTATAATATCGGGATCGATCTAAAATTTCAGGAGCCTAAAGCCAAACTTGATAGGGTATTCTGTAAATATTTGAAAATAAAATTACATGCATGATGTACAACCTTTGAGGCTATATTCTCATTGAAAGAAGATTTTTTATCTTAAAAAAATTTATTTTGACAAATGACTTAATTTAAAATTACATTACAAAAGTTATTTGAGCCTTCCATTTTGAAGACCTTCATATATTTGGAGTCCTAAGCAAAAGTCTACGGTGCCTAAGCTCAAGGCTGCTCCTAAATGCCTTTTGAGACGTCGAAAAAGCAATGCTCCTTCAGTTCTACTTTAAGTCACCGTCGACCTCACTAAATGAAACAATCAATACAAGAAATTTGTTTTATGTCGTTTTATTTATTATTATTTTTTTTTATTTTTAAAGTTCTGTACTTCTATCGAGGACGATTAAAATTAACGTGCCTGCCCCATTAAGTGTTGATTCATTAGTTGAGAATTAAAGTAAATTTTCTTGGCCTCCAAAAAGGTGCAAATACACATGCGAATGAAAGTTAAAGTGAGCACTATAACTTTTGCATTCCCTTTTTGTATGTCCATATACAATTCTTTAGCTCTTTCTTCTTTATGCCTCGGTGTGATAATTTCTGCGGTCCAAGTGTGAACCATTCTTATATTTCTTGAATCCATCTTTTAGGGCTTTTTAAAAAGTGTTTATATATTCTTAGATGTTAATTTTCATCGAAATTCAGCCCCCGTTTGGCCCCCATTCTGTGAAAATGAAAATGGGTGAAATAGTATTTTTTTTTTCATTTTAAAAAAAGAATGAGTGGTTGAAAAAGAAAAAAAATTTCGATTTACGTGTAATATTATTTTATAAAAAATTGTGTGGTTGAAAATAGAAGAGAAAAAAATGGAATGAAAATTAATGGGAGTAAAAGGGGAGCACATGATTTTCTTTTCATGTAGTTTTGCAATTGGGCTTGGGCTTGGGCTTGGGCTGGGGCTGGGGCTGGGCTATTTCTTCTATTTTCCACTAGTAAAGAATGTCTAGTTGTTGTAGCGATACAATACCAGTAAATGTAAAATGTGTGAGAGCTTCGTGATAACGTTGAATTAGGAAAAAATTAAATAAGTGAATTTGTCATTTAAGAAAGATTTTGGCATTTCAATAATATGGTTTAACATAGTATTAAAATGACAAAAGTTTTGAGTTCAAAAATCGCCTGCTTCCTATTTATAAAACCTTACGTGCGAAGTCCTTGGTAAAAATCCGAAAATCCGACTCTTACTAACGACATATTTAATATAAAACTTTAAATAAATGAATTTATATAATTTATATTGGGTTAATTTTACAAACGGTCACTGAACTTACAGAAAAATTACAAAATGGTTACTGAAGTTTAAAACTTTCAGTAACGGTCACTTAAGTATTGGGACGCTTTAAAAAACGGTCATTGAAGTTTAAAAAGTTTCTGAAACGGTCACTGAAGTTGAAAAACATTTTTTTAGTTTTTTTGGTTACATTTGCGGCAATTTTTTGGCTATTTCCAACCACCGATACCATCGAATTTTGATACCGTTGGAAAGCCCACAACGTCCTCTTTAATTACCACTCAAAATCTCTCCGTAACACCAAGGAATTCGATCGGAAAATCACCGCAAAAGTCACTCCAAAAAATCTGAAAATATGCATAGATTTTCAGATTTTTGGGCGACTTTTACGGCAATTTTCAGCGACTTTCGACCACCAAAACCATCAGATTTTGATACCGTTGGAAAGCCCACAACGTCCTCTTCAATTACCACTCAAAATCTCTCTGTAACACCAAGGAATTTGACTGAAAAATCCCCGCAAAAGTCACCCCAAAAAATCTAAAAATATGCCTAGATTTTCATATTTTTTGGCGATATTTACGGTAATTTTCCAATGACTTTCGACCACCAAAACTATCGGATTTTGATACCGTTGGAAAGCTCACAATGTTCTCTTCAATTATCATCCAAAATCTCCCCCAAACTCCAAAGGATTCGGCCCGAATAAACCCGCAAAATCGGCATCCCAAAAAGGCGAAAATCTGGGATGTCAACTTTGTTAGTTTATTCCGGCCGAATTCTTTGGAGATTTGGGGAGATTTTTGATACTAATTAAAGAGGACATTTTTTGCTTTTCAACGATATCAAAATTTGGCTATTTTGGTGGTCAAAAGTTGTCAAAAAATCGCCGCAAAACTACACCAAAAATCTTAAAATTTGGGCAGATTTTTGCCTTTTTGGGTAACCAATTTTGTGGGTTTATTTCGGCCGAATCATTTGGAGTTTGAGGGAGATTTTTTTGTTTTAATTGAAGAGGACATTGTAGGCTTTCCAACGGTATCAAAATTCGGTGGTATCGGTGGTCGGAAGTGATCGAAAAATTGCCGCAAAAGTAGCTCAAAAATTTTTAAATTTCAGTAACCATTTTTGAAAGCGTCCCAATACTTAAGTGACCGTTACTAAAAATTTTAAACTTCAGTGACCATTTTGTAATTTTTCTGTAAGTTCAGTGACCGTTTGT